TTGAAAAGAGAAAAATGTCAATATAATAGAATTTAATTATTCTCAAAAAATAGTATAGAAAACTATTTTTCAATTGCACATGAGGAATCGATTCACTCTGGTCTACACAATGAACTTAAATAGGAGGGGGATTCTCGGTCTCCCTCTAATGGACATTATTTACAAATAAAATATGTCTTAAATGAATAAGGAAATTCGATCCCGAATTTAAAATATCAGCACATGCAGTTAATATTTTAAATCAAACTGAGCATATGATAATTTGTTATATCCTGCATAATAACAGGGGAATACACCGAATTTACATATAAAGCCCCCCCCCCCCCATTTATAGGAATATATCAATGTATTTCTGTTGTAAAAGTTAGCGAAGTACATCATTAAGTCGTGTTCATTTTTTAATCCGTGTAAATGCTTATAAGTAGCAGTTGCATACATTTCCAGATTTTATATAAAGATGTATGTCGGTTGATTTGTAACAAGCCAAACCCGTTTCTTTTGCAGCAGTATACTGCTATTTCTCAATGTTTGTGTTTCTTTTTGCTCTATATGCCCCCGCACGCCATTGGCAAAATTCCTGGATCCATCCTTGTCATTAACATAAATTATACAAAAAAAAAGATAAATGAAGTTCAAATTTTTTTTTCATCTTTGTTATACCGTGTATGTAATGCATGAAAATTTTTGGGAATTGTTATAAATTTGAACACATAATGTGCAAAAGGGGGGGGGGGGTCACATTCTGCGTATTCCCCTATCATTTCGCAATTGTTTATCTAGGTTACAGATAAAAATTAGTGTTGGCAAATCGGACGATTTTTAGTAATCGGTTATTCGCTTCATCTTCCGATCGAGTACCCGGTTCCTCGGATGATTTTTGGTAAAAGTATCAATATATATTATTTATCATATTCTATACTTATCGGTAGTAGTAATGCACAGATATACCGTATAGGGACATTAGATTTACAATACACCCATACGATTTCGTCAAAGATTTACGATTTTAAAATAAAGAAAATTATAATAGGGAATTCGACACACAAAGGCAAATAAATACGCCATCGTCAATCACCATTTTACACTTTCTTTTTCAGCCCCCGAAATATGTCGCAATCAAGGAGAATAATTATTTACATACTCCATAATTGATAGTAAATATGTGGAGTGTCCAGTAAATCGCTAGTTTCTGAATAATTTAAGCTTAGGTGATTTAACTAGTGTTGGCAACGAGTACCCGGTTAACCGTCAAACGTTGCGAATTTTTTTTTTATCAAAAATACCACAGAAAAATAAAGTTAAAATTTGTGACATAGGCAACCCATTTTAGATATGAAGTAAATTTTTCATTCAATCAAATATAGCATTACAACCAGAATATATGAGATTAATAAGTTGTTTGAAAAATCATGCAATCCACACAGATCTAATTTTTAGTAGCAGAGGACACCTAAATTATGACAAGAATTGAACTTTGAAGTACAGTATCTGGTGTGGGTATTTTTGTCCCCCGCTTTCGCGAAAGCGAGGGGACATTAAATCTCATTCGTCTGTCCGTCTGTCCGTTAGTCTGTCAGTCTGTCCGTCTGTCAGTCTGTCCGTCACAAAAACTTTAACCTTGCCCATAACTTTTAATTCAGTGAAGCTATGACTTTTATATTTCACATGTGTATTCCTTGTGACAAGACCTTTCTTTGGGTACCACCAAATTTGACCTCTTGACCTTGACCTTGGAGTTTGATCCACTTTTACACAAAAATTCCAAACTTTTACTTTGGCTATAACTTTTGAATAGTAGGTACTAGGACTTTCATATTTCACATATATATATATTGTTTGTAGCAAGACCTTGCATTGGATAATAACAACCCTGTAGCCCTTTTCACAAAAAATCTTAAGTTTTTGCTTAAGATTTTAACTTACGAATCTCTTACGACAAATCTTAAGTGCTTTTCACGAAAGCATTCGTAGCAGATTGAACTTAAGATTTTACTTACGACAGACTTCGTCCTCAGCAACGATCTCAATATGCTTTATAATCCTTACATAAGTTGATGATCATAAAAATATAACTCAGTTTTTATTATTCATCAGCAAAAACAAACGTCACTGACAACAAATAACGAGTGCAAGCAAGAAGTTTGAAATGTGACGTCACAATCACAAGTATGACGTAAGAGTAGGTCGTACGAAAATCTTAAGTGAAACTTAAATCGTAAATATTTTGTAGTGTATTTCATGTAATTTTTCCAAGATAAGCGTGAGAAAAATATAAAATAATATTGGAAGTCACTTTTACAAGTTCTATTTAATGTGTATTTTGATTTTTGTGGTTATATTTTAACATTAAAATCGGTTTGAAAATACTTAAGAGAGGGTATGGGCTCTCGTAAAGTTACGATAGATTTTGCACTTAGGACTTTCTTAAGAATTTTTGTGAAAACGACTTTTATCGTAAGTTTTCTCTTAAGATTGAAATATGTCGTAAGAATTTTTGTGAAAAGGGCTACTGACCTTTTGACCTTGACCTTGGAGATTAACGTACTTATGAAAAAACGTTAACCTTGACCATAACTTTTGAACGGTGGAGACTAAGGCTTTCTTACTTCACATATGTAATCCTTGTGAGAAGCCCTTTCATTGGATAGCAATTACTTTTACCCTTTGACCTTGACCCTGGAGTTTTAAGTACTTTTAAAAAACTTTAATATCGGTCACAAATTTTTCACAGTAGATACTAGGACTTTTATATTTCACATATGTATTTCTTGTGGCAAGACATTTCATTGGATACCAACAACCTAGACCTTTTGACCTTGACCTTGGAGATTTACGTACTTATGAAAAAACTTTAACCTTGACCATAACTTTTGAACGGTGAGGGCTAGGGCGTTCGTACTTCACATATGTAATCCTTTCGAGAAGACCTTTCATTGGATACCAACAACTTTCACCCTTTGACCATGACATTGGATTTTTTAACTATTTTTTAAAAAAAACTTTAACTTTGTTCACAACTTTTGAACGGTAGATACAAGGAATTTTATATTTCGCATATGTATTCTTTGTGGCAAGTCCTTTCATTGGATATCAACAATTTTGACCTTTTGACCTTGACCTTTAAAATTTACGTACTTATGAAAAAAGCTTTAACCTTGACCTTAACTTTTAAACAGTAAGGGCTATGGCTTTCATACTGCAAATATGTAATTCTTGTGAGAAAACCTTTCATTGGATATCAACAACTTTGACCCTTTGATCTTGACCTTGAAGTATTTATTACGGAGGATGTAGATAATTATTATTTTCCCTGATAGCGACATATTTTTAATCAACTGTCCTTTTCTTACAGTTACACTCCAATCTTAATATGTCTGAGGCGGCATCTCGTTAAATTATCAAATGAGGTAATCATAACTCAGGCCTTCAAAAGTTGTAAACCTCTAAGAAAGCTACCGCCAAAATATGGCTGAAATATTGCCGACTTGGCGTTAAACAATATGAAATCAATCAATCAATCTAAGAAAGCTATTAATTATATAAACTGTGAAAACTAATCAAAACGGGGGCTGAAAAGGAAAGCATAAGGAAAGCAATAATGAGACGATGATTGACGATGTCTTTATTTGTCTTCTTCGTGTGTCAAATGCCTTATTATCTTTAATCCAAAATTCGTTGAGAATATCGCATGTTGTGTATTGTAAATATAATGTCCATAATGTATACAGTATATCTGTGTATTACTACTACCGATAAGTAAAGCATAAGATAAATAAAAGATGTGGATACTTTTATGAAAAATCATCTGAGTAACGAGGTACTCGATCGGAAGATGAAGCAAGTAACCGGTTCCTAAAAATCGTCCGATTTGCCAACACTAGTTTGAACGTGTTTGACTAGATGGCTCAATTTTCAATTTTATTATTCGATGCATCTCAGGTCAACGGTCTGTGTCAACTACAATATTGTTCACAGTTTCATTCTTTTAGAATTTCATTATTATTTCTCAATATTTAGGATACTAAGAAACCAAAATCATCAAACTTCTGTCCTTGCAATATGGCCTACTTTTGATATTTATAGTTATATGTCCATATAATTTAATTTCACTTATGTCAAGCAATTTCATTGGCTGAATCAATCAGAGGAACATATAATATTTTGTATAATATAATTTGCCTACGTCACAATAAGTTACGTCAAAAAGGTATTACTCCGCTTGACGTTACTTTTAAAATAATGCTCAATTTGAAGGAAAAATTCTGGAGGAAAAATTGTCTTATTGTCTATACTGAAATTAAATTATAAGGAATGAAGCGGTTTATAAAGCGTTAACTGTCCCAAGTTATGTTATACCGTATAACATAAGTTGAAATTAGCTTCATTCCTTAAATATCAGATAATGAAAGGTTACGAATCATCAAACTATGTCAGGTGATGCATCTTTTTGGTGAAATAATGCTAATAAAGAAGTAGAAAGCTAACATAAAGTAGGTCACGGTGACCTACTTTTGGAATTCCAAGGTTTTATTCAAAGATTTGGGAACATTTTTTGAAGTGTCGCTGGATGATTGCTGAAGAAGCAACATGTATCCATAAAATATCAGTTATAGAGTCTTTGACATATTTACCTCTGGGCACAAAAGGGGCTTTTAGAGGTGTATAAGTAAGTTTATATTTAGGAAAAAATGTGTTATATTACAACATGGCGTATTGAGTTTGTTTGGTTTTTTTTTTTATTATGAATGAGAATAAATGTTTTTGTTTTCATACTTCAAGGATTTAAAACTCCACCACATAACATTGATCACATGTACATAACTAAAACATTTTTTTTAAATGATTGATTGACAATCATGTTCACACCACATCACCAGGCAATGCAGTATTTGATTACCCTGAAAGAGGAGGACCGAGGGAAGGCCAAGTCGGAAGAGGGGTTATCTAAGAGTGTAAGTAAATGTAGATATTAAACTTATTTTGCTACTATAAATAACTCTGTAGTACATGTCAATGTGTAGGCCATGCAGTACATACTTAAACTAAAAGACGAGCGGAATGGGAAAGCCCGTTCAGAAGTTCTGGATGACGGGTTATTATCAAAGGACGTGAGTATAGACTCAGATAATCGTGTAATTTGGTGAGACGCACCAATTGCGAAATAAAAATAATTGCTTTTATTTTTTTTTTATCATGTTTAGGGTTGTGAAATCTATGTAAAACTCTTGATCAAACATCCATTTGCAAAATATTCTCGCGCTTTGAAGTTGATGAGCCCATTCGCGATAAAAAGTACTCGCGAAAAATAAGAAATCTACAGTATGCGGGGCCAGTATCAGTAGTTCTCACCCAGGAAGCTTGTGTAGTGGCTTGACACTTATTAATAAAATACTAACATGTGTTTAACTATGTTTTATTCATACAAATAAGTGTATATTTGTATGCAATTTATCATTTATTTATTTACCAGGTAGTTTATTTATTACTCTATTTATCCCAGTACTTGATTATACTAGTACTTGATTACCCAGTGCAGGGTATGATGCAGTTTATGACTTTTAAGCCTAAAGTTTATGCAGGAAGCTTAATTTATAAAGGGAATTTTTAAATCGCTGCTAGGTCATGAAAAAATAAAACAAAATTGTTTTGAAATTCCAAAAAGATAAAAGGATATAGGAAAAATCTTCATATCAAGGATAAACATATCTCAAAATGGATGTAAGTGAGCGTACATGCCTATCAATGTTGATTCAAGCTTGTTCAAAATTTGGCCATTTGGGAACCCAAAGGGCAAATTAATGAATTTGTTTTTTAAAAAGAAGAAAATAAGAAAATATACAATCCAACACAAAGTGGTACAATTTTTTTTTTTAGGATAGAGTTCTGAATAAAAACTTCTCTTTTACTTTTTGGGACAAACCTCTTTCTTTACATTTATGAATACAGTTTGTATACATTTTATTCCTCATGGTTTTCAAATGCATGGTATACATTTTATGGCCTTTACATGAAGAAGGAAATGGTCTTTACATTTAATACAGAAAAGGAAATTAAAATAGATTACAAACTGAGGCCTAATAAAATACTAGTACTGGCCGTGTGATACTGAGTTGATTATTAAATAATGTTTGTCTTTTCCGTAATATTTAAATTATTTTAGGATGGAAATATTGCTGAATTTATATATAAGTAATACATAGAATGCTTTTTGTTCTTTGAAAATGTCCATATATTGCAAATACTTATTTTTAGAGTTAAATATGCTTGCAGCAAAGTCCCAGGGAAACCAATTTTCAATTGTTATAAAAGTATTAAGTTATTGTGGTGTTAAGTTAACAATGCATTTGAAGACCATGGGATAAAAATCACTATGCTGTGTCAACTGTTACCATATTTTACTGTCTTCAGATGAATATAATGTATGTGTCCTGTAGTATCCTTTCAAGAGAAGGTTATTCTCCAACACGACATTTTCATTTTGTAACCATGTATACAGTTATAAAACAAATCACAAAATTGATCAGCAAGATAAAAACAAAATCGGGTTTAATCATTTACTTTTGAAAGAGGAGCATGGAAGCATAATCTAAAATTTCTTAGTACACTATTTATTTGCTTTTGGAATGGACTTTTTTTTATTATTGCATGACAAGTACTAGTTGCTTATAGAGGAAATCACTTTTAAAGCACGAGTTTAACCATCTCCTTATCCCTTTTACAGCACGAGTTTTACCATGCCCTGACAGAAGACGATGTTCCAAATGAAGTAGAGAATATGAAGCCGAAAGATTTGACAGTGGAACTCTTCAGGTTGGCTAAGGGGCATACAGTGTATTGGGGCACAAATACACAAATACCATCACATACCGGGTATTTTCTCAAAGACAAAGTCTAAGATTCTGAAATGACTGACTTGATGTAAAGGTTGAAAATCGTCATAACATAAATGTATCAGAATGTTTCATTTTGTCGACTTTTCTTGATAACCTCTAGAGGTAGATAACTGACAATTGAGTCTCCACATGAAAGACATGCACACATCTAGAGATAAATTATGTCTTTGAAGTAGGTTTTCCTGTTACCCAGAACCATAAGTTTTACATTTTTCTTTATCAAAAATGTTTACGTATTGTTTGAATGGAATATTATTTACTTCAAGAACTTTATAAGACAGGGGCGTCTGAAAAAAGATGCTGAAATAAAAAAAAGTCACTTGCTCCATCATATAAATTTACACTTTGATTCATCAAAGTATGCCAACATCTTGTTTCCATAGATTGCCTGTTGCCTCGTGAAATCTGACGTTTAAAGTAGAGAAGATTGGGTCAGTATCCACGTCTGATTTGGACAGCAAGGTGAGTTAACATTAAAGACTGCTGTTTAAAATATTTTCTGCTGGGAATTTGACATCAAACATCGAGACTTGCAGATCTGTCTTAGGTCAGACTTGCTTAAAAACAATAGTTTGGATAAGTGTAACAGTGAGATAAATATATTTCTGTTGACTTATTTAACATTAGGATGTGTTTATTGTTGACATCAAGAAAGCTGTCTACGTGTGGATTTGATTGGAAACTACTGTTGCTGAGAGAAAGAATGCAATGACATATGCCCATGTAAGCAGAACTACTAAAGTTTATGATCAATATGGACAAATGACGCATCTTGATTTACACTCGTACCAAACAAGCTTTTATTAATTAATGTTACTGTGAATTTTATCCAATTTTTAATTTTTTCCTTAAAACAATACTAGATCTTGATGTTATGTTTATGACGATTGCCATGAAAGTTCATTCATAAGATTTTGAGGATTAATAAAGTTACCTTATGTCTGAATTTTCAGAAATATCTACAGAAAACTGACCATCCACTTTTGAGCGTCACGTGCCTGTCTGAAGGAAAACATGACAGACAGATCAGCATGGCTCTCAGCGCCTAGTTACACGAGAACAAAGGCCGATGCTAATCTAATCATATATATTTGATACTGAGAGATTACAGTTTCTGAGCTGAAAGAACTTTTAAATATGTTGTTTTCATATCGGATATAATCGTAGTTTAAATGTTTTGATGTAGATTTAGCAATACAAAGTTTTCTATTCAATGACATGAATTTCTTTTCCACTAATATATCTATAATCCAGATTTAGCAATATGTATACTTACAGATGGATTTATATGTATGTTCAGGGGAAAATTACCACCAATTGTTGGAGAAACTCATCTTTATTTCTCTTTATCACTAACCCTTTTCCCCTTTATATTCCTATTTTTTTATTTTTTTATTTTTTAATATATATACAATTATAGACGTAACTTATATGAAGTGTAAATTATAAGGGTTTTTTGGAATTTATGATTATTTTTGGAATACTTTTTCATTCCTTTCTTTTTCTCTAGTTTTTATATAGTGCTATTTTCTTGTGCAATAATGCAGCATATCGCAGATCATCCATATATAGAAATAAAAGTTATAGCATTCGATGTTTTATATTTATTGAAGCAGTGCACTGTAGTTATATTAGGAAATTGACATATGTATACAAAGAGGGTAGAGTCTATAACATAACCTAGTCCTGGATTCCGGGAATATTATTTCCGGTATGGTTTTTTGTAATAGAACACATATTCGATCCCGATGCAATATACTTTTGTAAACATGATGATGTGTGGCAAATAATTCGATTTTTAATCGGAGACCTAATATTATGACATCCAAGCGAAAGTACGATTTCACTAAGTTTGTGGTATTTAATAGTAAACATAATAAATTTCATGACCTATTAGTATAACTTCTACAGTTCTATACACAAGCATGCCAAAGTAGAAGAACTAGTGACCTACTTTAGTACTTAGCATGTGCATGTACTGCAAAATATTAATTAAATTGATTAAGTATGTTAATCTACCGAGACAAAAAGAAGGTTGTTATA